TCCAACCACTTTGCCTTTAGCTCCTCCTCCATAGGTTACACGTCCTCCATTAAGTGTGTGGTAGTTTGATAGAAATTCCTTTGTTCCAGTCATGTGCCTAGAACATCCACTATCAAAGTACCATGAACCTGAAATGTTAGCATTTAAAGAAGTGTATACTGTTTTGCACATAAGTTTACCTTTGGGAGTCCATATTCTACACTCCTTTTTGGTAAATTCTACCTTTTTCTTGGAGGTGTTGCCTGGAGTGTTGTGACTCATCATGTACAACATTTTGTCACTACTTAGTTTCTCACAAAATGGGCGGGTGTGTCCTGGTGAGAAACAGTCATGACAAATGTATCCCCTTATTCTGAACTCTGAAGTGGTGACTGTGGAATTTCTGCATTCTTTTCCATTTGAACCCTTCTCTTTTATAAAGACAATCTCCTTCTTCTTTACTGGCTTGTGTTTCTTCACTTGGTTTTTGAACCCTAGACCTTCATTTTTGTTGTACTTCTCCAGTGACACAATCTCTTTGAGTTTAGTTGTGTCGGTATTCATCCTCTTGATTGCTAGAGTCGCCTTTTTGAGTTCATCTTTCACCTTTGCCAGTTCAAGATCCTTCTTGGTGATACCAACCTCCAAATGAGTGATTGTTTCTTTGAGAGAAGGATTTTCCTTGTTGACTGCATCTAGAGCATGAGTCTTCTTCTCCAAGTCACTGAACAATTTCTTGTACATTTCTTCCTCATCACTAACTGCTTCATTACTGGATTCTGCTGCATTCAAGGAAATAGAGTTTAAACATGTATAATGATCAGTATTAAACTCAGAAATTTCAGTTACTGAAAGTGTTTCAGAAAGTGTTGCAGCATCCAGAGGAACTCCTTCTGATTCTGTTTCAGAGGCACTTCCAGTGAGATATCTGACAGAAAGAGCTTGTTTAGAGGATTGCTGTTCCTCCGTCTGTTCAGGTTGTTCTTCCTCCTCATCGCTGACAGCACAAATCAAACTCATTCCTCTCCTTCTCAAGGTATTTGCACATTCATTAGCATAATGTCCAAATCCTGAACAGGCCCTGCATTTAATATGATCCAAGTTAGGTGGTTCAGAATTTGAACGAATAAAAGAAGAATTTTTTAAATTGTTTTGAGAAGGTGTTTGAGGAAATGTTCTCTGTGGAATAGATCTGTTCCGGGGCTGAGTTTGTCGATTTTGTGGAGACCCTTCTGAAAATAACTGCCTGGGCTTGATTCCACTTCGTCTGTACGCCCTATTGAATTTCTGAATCTGAAATGCCACATTGTTGAGGCATTCTTCTGCATCATCATCATATTCCGGAGCAACATCTTCCTTCTCTAATTCTGCCTGGAGTGCATTTGAGATAGCCTTTCCTTTCTCCTTTCTTTGATCTTCGAAGTTCATCTCTCTGGACTTGAGACTTCCTATTAATTCGTCCAGCCGTAGAGATGATGTATCTTTAGCCTCCTCAATAGCAGTAACCGTCATGCTGAACCTTTCTGGAAGAGTTCTCAATACCTTATTCACTAGTGTCTCGTTGCTCAAAGGACCACCTAAGGATTGAAATTCATTAGCCAAGTCAATCAGCTTCTCATTGTACTGAGAAATTGTTTCAGTTTCCTCCATTCTCAGTCTCTCAAATTTGGTAGAGAGTAATCTGAGCTTGGTTCTTTTGACACTATCTGATCCCTCGCAATGTAGCTGAAGAATTTCCCAAGCATCCTTTGCAGAAGTGCATACAGAGATTAATTTAAACATTGTTAAATCTACTGAATTGAAAATTGCATTTAACGCCTTTGAGTTTTGATTAGCATTTGATAGATCGTCTGGTGTCCACCGTAATTCTGGAGTTGGAAAAACATCTCCGTCCACATCTGTGATAGTTGGTGGCTTCCATCCAGTGAGAATAGATCTCCATGCTCTCTCATCAATGGCTTTGATGTACGCCCTCATCTTGACTTTCCAGTAGGTGTAGTTCGTGCCATCAAGTACAGGAGGTCGCATAGAAGCAGTCATCTGAGTATCCATCACGAATTCGTTTCTGTAAAGAAAATAGGAACAAACACTTAGTATACGTCAAGTGTTGGCTCTTGATGCCAATTGAAAGAATTTATGGTCCCGAATTCGTATTATACAGAGATGTTATCTGAAGTGTTGTGACACTTGAGACAACATGCAGCGGAAATATAAAGATTAAAAGACAGTACTCAGAATTAAAAATGTTCACAAGTAAAGACTTGTGAACTTGCCCTTTACAGGACGAAAAATATATTGAAATCAGTATTCCAAGAATACAAACAGAAGAGGTGCGAAAACTTCTTCCTTATGAATGAATCTTTTTCAAGATCATTCTTACAATCAAATCTAGATACTAAAAGAAAAATATTAAAAATTCTAGATTTCAAAGATGTACTCGTGAGGAGTACGTAAAGAACTTATGAATGAATCACTATCTTGATCATTCTTACAACCAAGTCTAGAAACATATATACTAAACAATCTAGACTACAAAGAATGTACTTATGAGAAGTACGTAAAGAATGTACTCATAAGGAGTACGTAAAGAATGTACTCATGAGGAGTACAAACGACCGATTCTAAAACCACTCTAAAACACTCGTGAATATTCTTCAGCCCTCGGTTTTTATCTCGTCGAATCGATTAATCTTCCTTGAGTATTGAAGTCGGTATTTATAGGCATTCCAAGCATCCACTACTCAGCCCATGATCTGCAAGAAAACCAACCACAAGAGCACTCAAGAACATGGGTTAGTGGGTTAGTGGATTAGTTTAAGGAGTTAGAATAATATTCACAATTAAACCCACTTAAGCACTACTTAGCCCACTAAGCACTATACTTAACCCACTAAGCACTATTTTTTCCATAACTAAAATTTAGTTAGAAAATAAGAAAGTTAAAAACAACATGTGGAAATAATCCACGTAATTCATACTGGATCTCCGTCAAATTCATTGGGAGCGACAATGCGAGGGCGGACGGATGGACCGCCGCCGTATACAATTCCCATGCACCGGCAAACGGACCACATTCCGACCACTTATTCATCGGCTTCCGGTCACAAGGGCCCTAACCTGGAGTTTCCTCGGTTCACAGGGGATAATCCACGTGGCTGGATCCGAAAATGACAGAAATACTTCCACGTATACAAAACACTGGACCAATAGAAAATTGAATATGCATAGAACACTATCGAAGGTATACTTCATCAAGAGTTTTGTCAGTGGATTAAGAGAGGAGATCAAAAGTATGGTGAAATTATTGAAGCCTAATACTCATAAAGATGCAATCAGTAGTGCTAAACTTCAACAGAAATCCCTGGAACATATGCAAAGGAGTTTGAAACTGATATGCCTAATTGGCCCAACCCAATGGGCCTACAAATTATTTACCTACTGGGCCACGAGCCCAATATCGAAGACCACTATCACCGAGGCCCAATCACCTTCAAGCAAGGTTTGGACCCGACAATCTCAAAATAAGCTATAAATACACATTTGAACTCATTCCATAAGGTACGTCCGATTAAATGAGCAATACTACAATACGTATTCTCTGGACTATTTCTATGATCAGCACGTCTGACTTGAGCGTCGGAGGGGTTTCCGACGGATCAACCCCCGGCGTAGTTCACGTGTGTTCATTTCGCAGGTACATCAGGATCATCAAGTTGTCAAGCTACTGATCTGCTTTGCTCTCCCAGTTCATTTTCTACACTACCCCAGGTGATCTAAGTAATTAGCATCATCAGAAACAAGCTGCTAAATCAGTTGGGGTAGGTTTTAAAACCTACAAGCACCAACCAATGGGGGAATTTAAACTACCTCCTATCAAGAAACTTTCATAGTATAACTTATATTATATTTTATAAGATAAATACAAAAAACGAAGGGTAAGTAAATTAAAACCTTATAAATCTCAAAATAGAAAAAAAGAAACCTTATAAAAAATTAATTGATTATCAGAAACTTTATGTTGCATATTTTTTTAATAAGAAATTTATGTTTTTATTTTATTGAGTTTTGTCGAAATCTCTTTTGAATTTTTTTGCATTTTCCTGCGAATTTTCAAAAAAGATAGAAATAAGTTGTGAAAATTTACATAATATCCGAATTTGGAACAAGAGATTATAAACTAATGTAATTTTAGAAATTCCATCGACTCCGAGGTATTCCGAAATTGAAATTGATTTTTATTTTTTTTTTCCGAAAAAGCCAAATATCTCTACTATCCTAAAAATATAAATCAACTATAGTTTCTATTCTCAAGACAAAAACTATTAAAATAACAACAATATTGAAAAACAATTGTTGAGGTTTGAGAAATAATGCAAAAAATTATTATTATTATTATTATTATTATTATTATTATTATTATTATTATTATTATTATTATTATTATTATTATTATTATTATTATTATTATTATTATTATTATTATTATTATTATTATTATTATTATTATTATTATTATTATTATTATTATTATTATTATTATTATTATTATTATTATTATTATTATTATTATTATTATGGGTAAATTACACCCATATCCCTGAGATATGCTTAAATAACTTTAAGGTCCATGCGGTATCGATAATTACACTCACCCTCCTGAAACATAGTTAGAAACACTAATGAGTTAATGCATTGGATACGTTATTTCGATAGAGTTCTAACGGACTATTGGTTTCAAGAAATTGTGAAAACAACAAAGAACTATGAGTGATTTAACAAATGTTGGGGGAGCCATGTCACCCACTAACTCTATGTTGTCTCCATCACTGGTTAAAAATAATAGTCCGTTATAACTCTATCGGAATAACGTATACAATGCATTATCCCATTAAAATTTCTAACAATGTTTCAGGAGGGTGAGTGTAATTATCGATACTATATGGACCTTAAAGTTATTTACGCATACCTCAGGGGTGTGGGTGTAATTTATCCTATTATTATGATTTTATTTTGAAACGAGTCATTAACGAAAATAACAAATCATAGGAGGAATTCAAAACCCTCGACTCTTAATCCCCAATCGAAAAAGACCTATTTCTCGTACGCGCACCCCAAAACACAACATCCACCGCTCGCAAATCGCCCTGAATCGCTTCCGTCCGGCGAATCCGCCGTGTTAACTCGGCAAAGTTGCAGCATTTTCCAAGGATTTTTTGCAATTTCCCGGAGTTACTGTTTCATACTTCCGAGCTGTGTTAAATTTTGAATCTTCGGTGCCTCCGTAAGCTGGCTATGGACTACGAGCCTTACGACAGCAGCGGTAAGTAATTCAGCGCAAAAAAATTCTCTTTGTAAGTGTTAATTTTGGTTTAGTGCTTTTATGGCCGGCCATTTTGATTTTGGCCCTTTTGGGTATGTTAATGTTGGGGTTAGGGTTTGTGGAGTTATATGCATTGTTGTAATTATGGCATTTCAGTGACTAGGTTTTTGCTGAAAGTGCAGTTACGGCTTTGGCAATATTGATTGTTTAATTTTTACTCTGAAGAGTAGATCACGCTGATTTTTCTTATCTAGCTAGCATATTGTTTCACTCGTTTTTCCTTTTCTATTTAGATTTTTCTTTCTGAGTGATTACGGGATTAAATAGTGCAATTGATAGTTGGTGAGCTTCAATGGAAGCGGTTCGTGCGTGTAGATTTTACACTGAATTTTCCATGGCCTACCTGCTTCTATAAAGTCGATTTTTTAATGCTTGGTGTGGGCTATGAAACTCGTTATAGAGCTATAGTAGACACGTCTGACGGTAATAGCCCTGTACAATATAGTAAAAAGATGATAGGCCAATAGGGTATGCTGAGGAACTTTTTAGATTTCAGCAGCATACATTAGTAGCGAGAAAATAGTCACTGCAACACATTTGAATGTTTGCAGATACTTAAGGTATCAATTATCATTGGTTCAAATCATTTTTGGTTTGTGATGATGCAAGTTTGGGAAGAAAAGTAAGAAAGCATTTTGATTACTCCGTTTTGCCTAGAGAGAAGAGGTGATATTAGCTCATCCTTCTATTGATCACATCTAGTGAGCAACTAATACCTTCATTTTGCAATCACTGGTTGTTTTGAGTTGAATGTCGTCCGGAAACATGATTTCTAATCTCAACCAAGTGTTGATCTAGAAAATTTATTGGTATTTGCAAAAGTCCGTTTGGTGCTAACAAAGGCTATAGCACGAGCGGGTTTTGTAGCACTTAGTTTCTTTTCTTCAACATGTACTGCAGTCTGAATTATTTATTCTTGTTTATGGAAGTGGTGGAAACACTTGAATAGTTTTGTTCCGTAAAGTTTTCTCCCCTTGTTGTCAATTTCATATCTGGTCCATAATATATTTTTTGGGCCTGTCCCGTCACACCCTCGATCGGTACGGGCATCAAGTACTTTAATGGCGAAATTTTTGCCTTTTATTTTCGAGTTTTGTTTGATGCGTTTATAAAGGTTTGGGTAAGGAGCTGCAAATGAAACGATCAGTGTTTATATAACTAGGTGTCAAAATTTTTAGCAGTTTGATTACCATTGGGATCATTCATGCTGGTTTTTTGTTCTACAATGAGGTATAGATTCTCGTGGATCATACTTTCAATTCGAGCATATTCTGGGTTTTACTTATTGGACGTGTTGGGGAGATGCTCATTAGTTTATTGGCCAAGGCCCAAGATTATCTGAATATTTTATCTGTAAATTTCTTTTGATAAACTCAGATTTCAGCACAAAGATATTACTATTATATTCCAATGGCCCGAGTACCCTTTTTATGAGCTTTGTCTAAGATTTATAGGCTTCTTCATCTATCAATCTCAAAGCCTTGTTTTCATTTTGACGCTGTTGCAGGAACTGATGATGATTTTCCCCCACCTCATCAAAATAGGATTTCAAGAGGAGGCCGCATTTCTGGTAATGGAAGAGCTGCTGCCATGGGAAATATGCCATATCCTAGGATGTACGATGAGGCTGACATGCTAGCTAAAATACACCAGCTTGAGCAGGAAGCATACAGTTCAATTCTAAAAGCCTTCAAAGCTCAAGCTGATGCTATTTCTTGGGTATATGTTAAAAATGGAGCTTGTTCTGACAATGGCATTTTTTTTAAAAAAATTGAGCAGCTTAAATGACAATAAAATGTATTTTCTTCAGGAGAAGGAGGGTTTAATAACTGAGCTTAGGAAAGAATTAAGATTATCGAATGAAGAACACAGAGATCTTCTCAGCAGAGTGAATACAGATGAAACAATTAGAACGATAAGGTTTTGTTTATAAAACATGTTTTCCTTTCCTTACTCCCTCAAAAGTCATTCCTGAGTTCTAATGGAATAATTATATGTCTTGTTCTTTTTAACTCAAAATCTGGGAAACACTATCAGCGAGTGGAGACAGTCAGGCGGGCTCCAATCAGGCATGCGTGGTGCTAGTCAAGCTATCCATGAACCAGTCCCCAGTCCTTCTGTCTCAGCTTCTCGTAAGAAACAAAAGATAGCTTCATCGTTACCCTCTCAATCCTTTGGTGGGCCTTCTCCTTCTTTCCACCCACAGATGATGGCTCAAGCAAACCAGCCATCTTCATCTGCCGCAAAGCGTGGTCCCTTAATGGGTTCAAAAGGCAAAAAGCATAAATTAGTGAGTTGAAATTTCATCATTAACTGTTATTCATGCATAAACTTATATTAGGGGTTATAATATGCTCTAATGTGCAGATGCCTCCGGGTGCAACTTCAATGAAGATGCAGTATCCCTCTGGTCCGACTGGGAGAGGTCAATTCGGTAATCGTATCTCTTCTGGTGGTCTTGCAACTGAACCTGCAGAAAGAGCTTCATTTGATCCGTTGATCGGGAGGAAAGTCAGGACTAGGTGGCCTGATGATAATAATTTCTATGAAGCTGTCATAAGTGATTATAATCCTCTCGATGTATATATGACTTCTGTGATTTGTGACTTTCTTTATATACTTTTGTTACATAAATAGTCTCTGATCTCTGTATGCTTTTCCAGGGTCGGCATAGTCTTGTTTATGATGTGGGTACTGCTCTGGAATCAGTTGAATGGATCAACCTTTCTGAGGTAGATGCATGCTTCAAATCATTTTCATTACACATTTTAAATTATTTTTTTTTGATTGTTATATATGTCACTTTATCATTAGTTTGTGATACCATAATCGAATTGAGTTCTCATGTTATATTAGGTTGATGAATGAGATGCTTCTTACACGAGATGTTTAATGTATGTGTACTATGGTACTCACATTGACTCACATTGGCTAATCTTAGATTTGGATTTTCAATTGGCTATTCAGACTATCAAACAAATAGACTCCTCCAGTTAATTCGGTGCTAGATTGTACTCCCATTGCGACTAATAGAAGCTTATGAAATTCGTCTATTTCTTAACTATTTTCAACTTGTCTGACAAATTGTTGAAAACTTAAGTATTTACAAAAGTAGAAGGCTACTTAATCACTATTTTTGATCATGCAACTAATTATTCAGTGTATCTCATAGCCAGGCTTGAGTGTGATTATACAGCCTATTGACTGACGCCAGCAATAAGTTTCTGCTCTTTGTTTGCTTCTGTTGAGAAAGCAATGAAATTATGAATCGAGTGCCTTCCCAAAGGCTTCTGACGGTTATTATGATATTATTGCATTTGTAGTCTGTGGTCACAATTGTACTGCAGGCAGCTTTCAAATGCTAGTGGTTTTATATTTGTACATGGATCGAGGAGCTGTACGTGTTGATGTCTTACTTGTGTAATTAATTACATTCATTTTCGGTATAATTTTTAGTTTGTTCTTCCAAATAACATTAGAGTGTAAGTGCATAAAATGTTTTTTCCTCGAAGTTATTTTCATTCGTTCTCTATGTCACCCATAACATTGGTTGGTGCATTAATAGTTGATGGAACGGTCATTTAGATACTCGAGAAAGAGGGTTTTGCTTAGAATAAGGTTATATGCATTGTGTTCTCTGTTGTATAACATAATCTATGTGTGCATTTTCATTGTCATTTTTCTAATCTAGAGTGAAATGCGAAATAGCTTTAAGATGGTAAGAGTAAGAGTGACATCATCCCCTTGCCAATCTTTGTTGCATAACATAATATATGCATGTATCCTCATCACTGATTTCTTATCAATCGTGAAATGCATTGTGTCTTTACTAATATTGTGGCCAACGTTCGTATGTTGGAAAAGTGTGAAATTTTCCCTCGATCATTTTCTTATGAAGTCCTTGATATGGTACAGTGTGTGGGAGGATGTTTTGGCTAGGTAAAACTTATACCCGAACGGGAGGATAAAGAAGAAATGAAAGTGAAACTAAATGCTGCTAATTGAAATGCATTACTTTACGAGGTGGTTTTTGCCATGTGGCTAAAGCGCCATGGAACTAGAAAGAGCAAAACCTGAACGACTGAAAAGGATCAAAAAAGAGTTGATTGTCACAAATCGATAATTATGTTAGTACAGAATTTGAAGTCTTGTGCTGATTTCTATACATTCTCTGTGCAGATTTCACCTCAGGATATACAGTGGGAAGGTGAAGATCCTGGAATTTCTCATCATGGAGGTTACGGTGGACCAGGTCATGGAATGAATAGACCTCTTGGTCGGGATAATGCTCAAGGTGGTGCCGGAAGAGGGAGGGGATTGGCAAAAGGTCAATCCAGAAAAGACTTCCGGCAAGCACAAAATGGTATCGGGAAGAAGGGACCCGACGACATTCAGTTGCTTCATACCGATACCCTGATTAAGGAGGTAATGAAGTTTATTATTCTATGCATATTTAAGCAGGTATGCAGGTTTATGTTAGTTAATTGACTGTTGATCTTTTGGCAGGTGGAGAGGGTTTTTAGTGCTAATCAACCGGACCCTGTGGAGATGGAGAAGGCAAAAAAAGTGCTAAAGGTTTGGAGAACAATTCAGCAATCTGCTATTTGATCTCATTTATTTGATTGATAGGTTTAATGAGTTTTAATTATTTTGGAAAAAAAAAAACAGGAGCACGAACAAGCTCTTGTTGATGCGATTGCAAGGCTTGGAGATTTATCTGATGGTGAAAGTGGTATGTCTGTCTGTCTGTCATTTGTTTTATTCTTCGTTGACTTATGTTGTTCAGATTTCGATTGTGATGATTGATTTTGAAATTGTTGATAGTTTGCTATAAACAGCTTAAAGTTTAATACATATCTGCCTGTTTAGTGAAAATACGTCATATAGGGAATTTAAGAAGTAAGAGAAAACGAAACAAATATATCTCAGTTAGAGACGCTGATGTGTACTTATATTCATATGTTAGATTGACATAATAATATTCAATGCATTTCATTTATGCATGCCCATACGGCTAGCTAGAGTTTGCACCATCCTAAATATGTTTATTTAAATTTTCTTTGACCAAGTTGAGGCTTTGTTTTTTCATCTATCGTCCCGATTAAGTTGCTTTGCTCCAATTAAGTTGCTTTGCCAACCAATCTAGTATGACTTTTTTTCTTTCAATTTTCGATTTGCTAGTCTTGTTCGTATTAAATATTTCTTCCAGCCATATTTATTTTATTTCTTCGTAACATCTTGACACAGATGAGGGTGGCCGTTTTTTCAACGCACAAGCAATCGACAGAGAATGACGAAGCCAATTATTGAAGTACCATTGGTACATAAAACAAATGGGAAAAAGATTAGGTAATTCATAATTCGAGCTGGCGGCAGGGGGGCCACACATCTATCTGCAACTTCTGTCAATATGGTAAAAAAATCCAAATTGATATTAGGAGAGTCAATCTGTTGTATAATGTCAAAATTCACTACAAACACATGGATAATTGTAGTTTTAGGCCAAAGTCAGTAGCAGGGCGAGTTGCCCTATATTAACCGGTCAGCGTTTAGCACGCGTTTTACGTTAATCGCAGCTGCCATAAAGGTACGGTCGTGTAAAAGTTTATGTACTTTTTTTTTATGGGTTTAGCTTCTCTTGATTAATTTAGATGAGGGCATGCCTGTCATTTATTAACAACGATAGTCGAAGCATATTTATTATTCATGTGTTTATTTCCTTGATGATGAACCTCTCTGAATTTCTTTTAGTGCTATTCGAACTGTATCTTCGTATTATATAAGAGGGCGTTTCTATTTTTTTTCCTTGAAAATAAAGAGGTGTTCGCAAATATTTGTTCATCTTTTTATTCAATCAACTATTAGAAATATGTATTTTCCACTAAAAATATTTAACAATATGTAATAACCGTGCATCGCACGGGTGTATTACTATTATATATAAAAAGACAATCCATGACATAATATGTTGACACGTGACACTCTTTTAGAGTTTCAAACCATAGGGTTGTTTTTGTAATATCTTTGTTTTCTAATGGCCTTTTTTTTTTATGTTAGTCGGGTCAATTTTATTAGCATTTGGCAGTTTTTTAAAATAAAATCTCCACACAATATAAAATTCATTACCTGTTCAAATACTTCCACGATTTGAAAACTTCTCCCAGTTTATTAAAAAAAGAAAAACCTTTCTCCCTCTATCACGTTTGGATTGGCTTGAAGTGGAAACAAATCTGGGGAGTTTTCCGATTTGGCTAACGGCGTGTACAAGGTCGGTTTTCCGCTGCTCTTCAAGTTTAACTGAATGCGCTTAATTTTATTGTCAATCGGATAAATAGTAGCATGTTTCATCGATCCGTGTCTTGTGGGATGCTGTCGGATTCGGATTTCTGGCAACTGTTGTCTTTGAAATTTCTTATCACATTATATTTTAGTTTTGCTTCGATTCTATTTATTATTTTCTTGCCATATGTGATGAAGTTTATTTTCTTGATTTTGAAACTTTAGACTATTTACAGTTTCACAAAATTCTTTTTTTTCCATGGGTTCACAAAGTTCTCCAAGCGTTCATTTCTCAAACATCTTCTCAACTGTTTTAGCATGGTTATTTTCAGGTTGTGAATGATAGCATGGTTATGTTTCTGTATATTAAAAAATCACACGTTGTGTTCTGATTATGATGCTTTACAGGTTGCTTAAATATTTTACCAAGTTATTAAAATATTATACGCATATATGCATGTTTATATTTTAATTCGATCGTCAATTAGAAATATATACTTTTCCGTGAAGAAAAGTAGAAATATGTATTTACCGTGCATCGCACGTATGTAGTACTAGTAAGGAAAAAACCTAATATACTTGCCCCCTTTATAGCTGGTGCGAGTGGAGATATGGCGGTGTTTATTTAGGAGCGTAAATCTAAAGAAACGAATTCCATTCACCAAAGCCCACGTATAATTTTTAATTCCCAAAGAAAAATAGTTACCAATTACCTGACAACACTCTTTCTCCTTTCCTTCTCTTATTTTTATTTTTATTTCATTTATTGCTATTTATTTTTTTAACTATATAATTATACTGTCACCGATAATACATTAACGTTGACAGTACAATTAGAGTCAACGACAATATTATTATTTTTTTAGTTTTTTTACTTTTTAATTTTGTTTGATTTGTTGACAAGTCAACGTAATTATATTACTGTCGTTGGCAGTAAAATAACTGTAAACACAATAATATTACTGTCAGACACATCAATATTATTATTGTTTTGGGTTTTTTGTTTTATTTGAGTTATCGACGGAGTAATATAATAATATTACTGTCTATTATTGTAATACTACTGTAAACACAATAATATTACTGTGGTTGACGGTAATATTACTGTCAACTACACCAATATTAATTCTTTTGGCTTTTTATTATGTTTACATTTGTTGAACGATCAACATATTAATATTACTCTATTATAACAATGACTTTTGTTGTGTTAATATTATTGTGCTAGAGATTAATATAGCAATATTGTTGTGTTAAACTGCAGTATAGTTAATATTACTGTGTTTAGCAGTAATGTAGCTAATATTATTGTCAACCACTGAAATATTGTTGTTTAAACGGGGGCAAAAAGATGTTAAAGAAAAGAAAAAAAAATCAACGCCGGACGACGGACGAAATTGTGTTTTGGGTCAAAATTGAATAATTTTGGGCCAAATTGAGGTTAAATTAAATTAAAGAATGAAATTAGAGCATATTAAAATGTGATGGACTATTTTAGTTTTTTACAAACTTTTGAACAATGTGTGGACTTTTTTGATAAAAAAAAATTCGTCTAGACTCCTTTATAAATATGTGTGTGCGTGTGTGTGTGTATATATATATATATATATATATATATATATATATATATATATATATATATATATATATATATATATATATATATATATATATATATATATATATATATATATATATATATATGTGTGTGTGTGTGTGTATATATATATATATATATATATATATATATATATATATATATATATATATATATATATATATATATATATATATATATATATATATACCCGTTTATTTAAAAAATATTTTTGAAATAACATAATCGAATTGAGTTGTTATGTTATATTAGGTTGATGTGAGATGCTTCTTACATGAGATGTTTAATGTATTTTTAATAGAGTACATTAGATATACACCCCTCATATGGAAAATAAATAGGAATAGGTCCACCCCTAAAATTCTTTCTTTGAGATAACCCCCTAGAGAGGGAAAAGTACTATTGTGCCCTTATTTTACTATTTTCGTCCAACTGCATTCAACATTTTTGCTACTGCATTTAGTATTTTCGTTTTTTTTTTTATTTTTTTTTTTATTTTTATTTTTTTTTATTTTTTTTTTCTGATTTTTTTGCCCGAAAACTTCCCTGTTTCGAATATGACTATATATGACTATATAAGTTTTTTTTTTTTTTTTTTTTTTTTTTAGCTTTTGTTTTTCTGATTTTTTTTTCCCGAAAACTTCACTGTTTCGAATATGACTACATATGATTATATAAGACTATAGTCATGTACTGTCTTTTTACCCAAAGTTATGGTCGACCGATTATATATATCGTTGATTGTATAAAAAAAAAAATTCATCTACATCTCCAACAAAATTCAAAATTTGAATAATGATATTATAAATCAATTCGCACCCAACAAAAAATTGAAAAAACGCAATCATCAACATCACTATACATCAGAATCACCACATAACTTATATATGACTATATATAACTACATGTGAATATATATGACTATATCTATATGACAATATGTGACTATATATGACTACATGTGACTAAATATAACTACATGTATATGACTACATGTGACTATATATGACTACATGTATATGACTACATGTGACTATCTATAAAAGTATAGTCATATATAGTGAAATACACAGTCACATGCAAATGTTACTAAATGTTACTATATGTTACTATATATTACTACATGTGTCGAAACCCTATCAAACTTTTTGCCATCAGGGTCTAGCTCGTCAACTCGAAATATATCTTCAAAAAGTGTTTCCACCATAGTTACAGCACTGTGTCGAAACCTAAATCCAAAAACAAAACACGATAAGTCCTGGCCCATCAAATTACACATTTTAGATGGTGTAGAATTTCACATCGGTTAAAGTATTTTTCTGCGTTTATTATATTGCAAATCTGTAATGATTAACTACTGAAAATGGAAAATTTCATCCTGATCGTCTCAAATTGAATGGGAAATTCACAATGCTAGAAATAGTTTTTTAACATGCCATAAAAAAAAGAATACTTCGGGGGTAACAAAAGCGTATTCGATTTCAGAAAATTGACAGTTAAAACCACAAGGCTTGTTTTAAAGCTGGATTAAGTATCACTGGCTAAACACATAATGTAACGTGTACAAAACGGTCATAAATAATAATATAACTAAACTAACTTCAACCTCCTGATTTTCTAATTTCTCAGGAACACAAAAAATACTTATAGCAAAATTATTATCCTGCAGAAACTGCACAAGCACAAGCATTAATGAATTTAAACCACAAATCGCTTTTTTCATACGAAACTCTTGCTGATTTAGCTGCCGATATTTGATTCCAAACAGGGCTCAGTCCAATTTGCAGCCAATGATAAAATTGGCAACACACACACACACACACACACACACACACACACACACACACACACACACACACACACACACATATACAGAGAGATGTCAATTGTGAAAGCAAAGTAGATGAGCAAAAAAACAGCAGCGAATGCTGAAAAGGTGGACAGAGAAACAGAAAACCCAAACGAAACCCTGTTTGGAATCAAATATCGGCAGCTAAATAAGAATCTTAGCAAATAAATAAAAACAAATCAAATACACAGTCACATGCAAATGTTACTAAATGTTACTATATGTTACTATATATTACTACATGTGTTTACATGTGCTGGATCATTAAGACGTGGAATCAACGAATTCATACATCTATAATCTATCTAAATAAGATGATATATTGCTCTTAATCTTGGACTGGTTTCACAATACTAACAAAATCATGACTATTAGAGATAGTTCATACATCTATCAGGCCTTTTATACATGAATTCAATGGTGACAAATACTAGCACAAAAACATTGAGTGGATATCATCGGTTGGGGAAAATTCACACAAACTACATCATATCATTAACCATTAACCATTAACCATTAACCAGAGTAATTAAATCATGTCAAATCTATGTAAATTGTTAATCATGAGAAAATGATTTAGTAACTAAATTACTTAATCATCATTAATATTCAAACAAAGTTATAATCTATGTCAGAGTTGATGAAATTCGTAACATAAAAGAAGTACTCACGTCAATTCCGATGATGACAGCACCTTCGGCAAGAAACAGAGTCATGTGTCTCGTGAGATTAAACGGCGCTGTTTGGCAACTGCCCCGAGGAAAATTGAGCCGGCCGCCCCCTTTTTTCCCAGCTTCGAAATTGCCGACATCATCTTCTCAAACGCCGCCGTGTTGAGAGTCGACCCATCCCCCATCCCTCCAAAGTCAGTCAAGTTGAACGACAGAGACTTCAGATCTTGGCGGCGGCGGCGGCGGCAGTGGTGGCCGCGGCGACGGGAGATAGATCGGATCTGGCGAGAGAGGGGGAGATGTAGAGAGAGAGAGAGAGAGAGAGAGAGAGGGAGAGTTGGTGGGTCTGAGATGGTGGGTCTGAGATGGTGGTTGCGACACGTGAGAGGAAGAGAAAGAGAAGATTAGGTGATAGGATATTTATTGAATTGAAACTAAAGGGTAAAATGGGTATTTTAAATTGTTCAGGGGGTCTCACAAATTAAGATTAGAATTTGGGTTTTTGACTAAGAAAGAAAAAAACATTGGACCTCCTTATATATATTTTCAAAACTAGGGTACCTTTTTAATATGGTACTCACGTCGGCGAATCTTAGATTTGGATTTTCAATTGGCTATTCAGATTATCAATCAAATAAATAGACTACTCCAGTACATTCGGTGCTAGATTGTACTCCCATTGCCACTAATAGAAGCTTATGAAATTTTGTCAATTTCTTAACTATTTTCAACTTTGTCTCACAAATTGTTGAAAACTTAAACATGTACAAAAGTAGAAGGCTATCTATTGATGGAACGGTCACTTAGATACAGACACGACCAAGGGGCGTGTCAGGTTTGGTGCGGGTCCGTGTCCGACTTTTAGGGGACCCAAAACCGACCCGTGGGGAGGCGAGTTCGGGTCCGAGCCTGACGACCTAGCTAGAGTGTGCACCAACCTAAACATGTTTTATTTAAATTTTATTTGACCAAGTTGAGACTTTATTTTTTTCGTCTATTGTCCCGATTAAGTTGCTTTGCCAACCAATCTAGTCTGACTTTTTTTTTTGTATTTTCGATTTGGGGACTTGCTATTTGCGGTTTGAAAATTGTTATTTGCGGTTTATAACAAAAAACACTTTATCTCTCTAAAACCCCAAAACTTCCCAAAAAAATCCAAAAACCCCCCAAAACGCGTAAAAGCCCAACTTGGGCGCCCATTCATGCAGTGCACGCCCAACTTGGGCGTGCAAGCTGCATTTGGGCGTCCAGTGCAAAAAAAATAAAAATAAAAAATTAATTGAACGTCCATCTTGGGCGTTCAAATATTTTTTTGCGAAAAAAAAAAAGCCCTACAAATTATTTGTAGGGCTTTTTAACATGAAATTGGTTCCGTAATCGACCTACTCAGTGCATATTACACATAAAAGAGTCGAAATTACATCAAAAAATCGAAGCCCAACCCTTCTTCAAGCTTGATTTCGAATTTTCGAATTTTTTTTTTTCTTTTTTTGCTATTTTGTAGTTTGGGGGGTTTTTGGAAAGTTTAGAGGGGTTTTGTTATAAACCGCAAATAGCAATTTTCTAACCGTAAATAGCATTTCATTCGATTTGCTAGTCTTATTTGTTGGTATTAAATATTTCTTCCGGCCAATTATTGAAGTACCATTGGTACATAAAACAAATGGGAAAAAATATTTGGTAATTCAAAATTCGAGCTGGCGGTAGGGGGCCCACACATCTATCATGCAATAATCATGTATCAAAGAATAGGGGCGGATTTTCCTGCAACTGTTTATATTTAATAAATTATTTTATTTTATTTTAATCTCATTTTAAAAAGAAATTAACTGCTCTGAAAATTAATTGTTCTGGTCTAGTAATACATGCTCTGAATATTTCAAATTTTCAACTCTTAATTGATCAGCAGTCCAACTTGCTCAACATTATTATAAGGGTAAATTACAAACACCCCCCTAGGTATGGTCAAATTACAAAAACACCCCTCTTGTTTGGATAATTACAACCACCCCCTCAACTCCTCAAATTTAGTGGAATCTTCGAGATTATATGGAATATTATCACTTTTGTACCCGTTTATCCCATTCAAACTCTACATTATGAAGCAAGATGATCATAATATGTGATTTTTAGCTTGTATATATCTGTTTGTGGTGCATCGGAAACTGTATTTTTTACACAAAACGAGTACAAACTAGAGCGCATTTCACGGAATCTAGATGACTATGTTGAATTTGGCACCATAAAGGTGGAGGTCTAAGAAAAAATCATAGTTGAGGGGGGTAGATGTAATTATCCAAACAAGAGGGGGATTTTTGTAATTTGACCATACCTCAGGGGGGTTTTTGTAATTTACCCTTATTATAATTTATATATATAATATAATGCTGCCTAAATTTGACTTAAATAAATTCGATTAAATAAAAAAGGATATTGTTGAACAGTTCAACACTATTACTACTGCTGCTTATCTCTAATACGGTCAACTTTCTTCATTCCATTTTTTAATATCTCAATATATATATTTCAAAAATTGTTTCATATATATGCATATATATACATATATATTCAGTTGCATGCATATCTTGAAATAATTAACAGAAGCAAAAAAAATATTACATGGCTTGTATTCATGACAGCCTCAACGTTTCGAATTCTGCGGGATTATTTATTAGAGAAAGAAAATCGAGCAAGAGATTAACGACACGCACGGTTCGATGCGAAAATACCGGCGGCAAAAAAAAGACGCTGAAAATCTTGATTGCCGGTGGAGGAATCGGCGGTCTTGTTTTCGCGCTGGCGGCAAAGAGGAGCGGATTCGATGTCAAGGTGTTCGAGAAGGACTTGACAGCTGTCAGAGGGGAGGGGCTCGAGCGGGGCCCGATTCAGCTCTTGAGCAGTGCTATGGGATTAATGGAATCTATTGATAAAGATGCTGCAAGAGAAATTATGGAATCTGGTTATGTAACTGGTGATAGGTTAAATGGCTTAGCTGATGGCACCACTGGTCAATGGTATATATACATATATAATTATATATCTTTATTTTTTTAATATAATATATTTACAAAAAAAATATTTTTTATAGGTTTGCGAAGTTCGATTTTCTAACACCGGCTATACAGAAGAGTATACCGGTGACTCGAATAATATGTAGAATGGAACTGCAGAGGATACTACTAAATGCAGTTGGTGAAGATAATGTAATGAACAAGTCCAAAGTTGCTGACTTTGTTAGTGATTCTAAAAAGGTTTTACTTGTCTGAAAATTAATTAAATCTACCACTAATTGTATTTTGTTTAATTAGTTTTTATAATTTTTTGTTAATTAATTGCAGGTTACGGTCTTTCTTGAAAATGGCGAACAATACGAAGGCGATATATTGGTTGGCGCGGATGGAATACGATCCATGGTATATATATATATAACTAGTTTATATTAAGGAACACAAAATAAATAAATAAATAAGATCTACTTCGTTTTTTTATATACATATTGTTACAAATAGGTGCGGTCGAAGCTGTTTGGTACGAATAAAGAGCCGAAATACTCGAACTTCATATGTTACACTGGTGTAGCAGAGTTTCATCCCACGTACCTCCCTTCTTTCGGGTACGTATATATATATATGTATGTATACACAACGTACTTCTCCTCATCGATATGTAATATGATTCTTACGTTTGTGCTTGTCTGTATATATATAGATACAAAATATTCATAGGAAGAAACAAGTACTTTGTTGCATTAGACATTGGCAAGGGGAGGATGCAATGGTACGCCTTCGTTAGGGAGCCGCGTGAAAGTCCCGTTTCCTCCATAGGTATATATCTCGCCACACGAGATTAAAAAAAAAGAAAAAATAATAATAAATCAAATTCCTATATATATGATATATGACATATATATTGGTATTTTTAATAATTTATGCAGGTAATAAAAACATGCTTTTGGAATGTTTCGGAGGGTGGTGCGACGAGGTAATCAAAATTATAGGCAGAACAAACGAGGAGGCGATTATACGAAGACCGATACACGACATAGATATGATTAGCACTTGGGGGAAGGGCCGTGTCATTTTATTAGGCGATGCTGCTCATGCGATGCTACCGAATCTAGGCCAAGGCGGTAGCATGGCTATCGAGGTTTTTAACTTTTCGATAATTTTTTTTTTTTTTTTTTTTTTGCATTTCGGAACTAATTATAGTAGTGTACTATGTTACTAAAGTTTCGTGTTTTTTGCAGGATTGTTATTGGCTTATGCTTGAGCTGCAGAATCTTGCTCAAAGGCACACTATTTCCGAAATTCCGTTGGATCAAATAACAACCGCGTTTACAAGGTATAAAAGACTTAATTATTTAATTTCCTAATATGCATATATTAGGGGATTCTTGATTTTGATTGAACAACGTTGTTCGTTTCCACATAAGCAGATTCGAAAAGAAGAGGATGTTTCGAGTAAGAATAGTGCATTCGATTTGCAGGCTGGCGTCGACGTTGACTGCATTTTATCAGACATACTTAATAGACATTGGTCCTATATTTGTAAGTCTTTTGATAATTTGATCTTCACATTCTATGATTAATTAGTTATTTAATTTAAATTAATTTATATATTTTAATGTGTGCAGAATGTAGCAGGTGTACTGAGGGTGAAACATCCTGCATTTCATGTGTCAAACAAACTACTGCAACTAGCTATGCCAAAATTCATGGAATGGGTTATTGTAGGCCAAGATTGATTCAAACGGCATAATATGTATATACATATATACATACACGTATACATACATATATACTAGAAGCATTTATGTATAAATTGGGACATTAGCTATATTAGCCATTTAGTAACTAATGAGTTTAATCACGCGGTTGACGAAACTAAAAGAATGGACATAATCCATAATCGATATCAAAAATCGAACACGTAGTTAGTTACAAGTGAATCCAAAAATCGAACACATAGTTAATTTTCAGACTTGGATCAAACGGTGTTACTGTTAAATGTCTAAAAACTAACAGCGATGCCACATTGAAATAATTTTTCAAAGGGGAGAAATCAATACAATTAAAAGTAAAAGAAAGTAAAATAATATCGAGTCAAAGTACAAGGGGAAAGTGAAATTTACCATAGTAAATATTCATCAATTTAATTTCACTCTTTATTAAAAGACCACATAGCACTGGAGGTAGGAAATTCGATGAATTAGATCCAAATCAACAATTTCGAAAAATATTAAAATACTAATTCCAATTTCATTTCACAACAATTCCATAAATACAAAAAATGTAATGAAAATTACTCTAATATCGTTTTTTTTTATCAAAATCGGCATATGATTAAAAAATTGGGTAAATTACAATCACCTTCCTAAGGTATGGTCAATTTACAAAAAAAAAACATCATGTTTGGATAATTACAACCACCCCACTTAACTATAAATCTTTTTACACGTCCATCCTTGCAGTTTCAAATTTAGTGTAATTTTCGAGATTATATGGATTATTATCACTTTTGTACGCGTTTTATACTATTCGAACTCCACATTTTGAAGAAAGATGATCATAAATAATATGTGTTTTTAAACTTGTATATATCAGATTGTGGTGCATCAGAAACTGTATTTTTACACAAAATAAGTACAAACTAGAGCACATTTCACGAAATATAGATGATTATGTTGAATTTGACACCATAATGGTGGAGGTGTAAGAAAAAATCATAGTTAAGGGGTAGATGTAATTATCCAAACAAGAGAGGTTTTTCGTGAATTTACACTAAAAAAATATATTATTTTATTCACATATATTATAAACTACATAATATTGTTTTAGTAAATGATTTTTTTTTTAAATCCAAAACTCAAATCTATTTCCATTACAATCCTAAAAGAAGTTCAAATAATAATAATAATAATAATAATAATAATAATAATAATAATAATAATAATAATAAAAATAATAATAATAATAATAATAATAATAATAATAATAATAATAATAATAATAATAATAATAATAATAATAATAATAATAATAATAATAATAATAATAATAATAATAATAATAATAATAATAATAATAATAATAATAATAATAATAATAATAATAATAATAATAATAATAATAATAATAATAATAATAATAATAATAAAAATAAAAATAAAAAAAATAAGGGGTAATCTAAAATCGGGGGAAAATAAATGTTTATTTCAAGAAAAATGATAAATAAAATAAGGGTAAATTGCAACCACCCTTGATGTATGGTAAAATTACGAAAACTCCCATTTTGTTTGGGTAATTACAATAATCCCTCAACTATAAATTTTCTTACACGTCCACCCTAATGGTTTCAAATTTAGCGGAATCTTCTTGATTAAATGAAATATTATCACTTTTGTACCCGTTTTATTCCATTCGAACTCCTCATTTTGAAGCAAAGATGATCAAAAGATGTGTTTTTTGGCTTGTATATATCAGATTGTGGTGCATCAGAAACCGTTTTTTACACAAAACGAGTACAAACTAGAGCACATTCTACGGAATCTATATGATTATGTTGAATTTGACACCATAAGTGGTGAAAGTGTAAGTAAGAATATTCATAGTTGAAGTGTAGATGTAATTATCCAAACAAGAAATGTTTTTTCGTAATTTGACCATACCTCAGTTGTTGTAATTTACCCATAAAATAAAAATAAAAACTTAAACTTGAACAAGTCAAATCCCATTATTTATTTATTTTATTTTGTTTAAAAAAAAAAAAAAAAAAGTCAAATATCCCATCCCTACCAAAATATTTTAGATGATTCAAAAATCAAAAGTATTTTCCGACCACCGCAGACAAATTTTCAAGCATGATTTATGTGGCCGGAGTTCCATTTTCTCCCGATGAATCGTCCCAGGTATTCATTCATCTCTCAGTTTTTCAAGTTAACTGTATAATAATATTAATTCCGCAGTCTTAATCCGTAATCTGAATCCAATACTTGAAAAATTATTTTGGGTGTTTATCGAACGATTCTGCTGTTTCATACGATGTTTTAATTCCGAAAATTGATTTGATTTGTGTATAAGTTCTTAACTTCATATTAAAAAAATTATATATGTAGTTGTATTTGTTGTTTTGTATAAGAAGAATGAAGAAACATTGATCTGTACAAGTTGAAAGAAGAATGGTGCTTTCCTTTAAACCCTAATTTGTTTCACCCATATTTATCTGCTGGCAAAATGCAGCATCGAATATCGAAAACGGCTTGATTTTGTTCCCCCGATTTGTGTTTACAAGTGTAATAAGCGGCCCCTTCGTTTTATAATCGCGATCTCACTTTTTTGTACTATAACCTAGTGATAATACTGTTATGTGATGTGGGGAAATACGTTAGACTCCAGACGATGGGAAATTATCGGGGCGTGAATAAAAAACCGGAGTATATCTGTTGATGAATCTTGAATTTGCAGATTTTGTCCAAAGGGTACGTGAACGGGGCAAAAATTTGCTTCGATTTTCAAAAAGAAGGCCGCTCTTCAAAAAATAAATAGATATGTGTTCGATTTATGCACGTATGGATGGATAATGCTCGTGTTCTCTAGAAAGGATATGTCAGCAGTAACAATAAACTAACACTTCAGTACATTGCTTAGTTGTAACGAAATTATTTGGATATTCAGTTTGAGCTGTTTTCTTTATGTGTCGTTATTGAATTTCGGCATTTTTTTATTTTTATTTTTGTATCATAAACAGGGAACGGACACTTTGATAGCTTTGATGGAGCATCCGGATTTGGTGTCGGCCTCAAACTCATTTAAATCTACGGCGGAGAAGAAATTCTCGGTTTCGGAAGACTCTAATTCAGTGAAGTCGAAAATTAGTAAATCGGTTTACATCTTTCAAAAGGAATTCGCAACCGTTGACCCTGCTTTAGTTGACGTATGCTTTTATCATCATCTATTTAAAGTTTCTTCTTTTTTTTTTTCCTTTTTTTCTCGGCAAGGGTATATGTTTGAAGTTTGTTGTGTTCGGAAATTTGCGCTTAGAATCTAAAATTATCTAATTCTAATTATTTCATATTATTTTTTTGAAATCAATTTGTCGTCTTTGTAGTTTTAGCATATATGCATGGCTTGCAATATAATTCTTTTGGATATACAACAACATCATGCATTCAAAAATCTTCAACGTGAATTTTGTTTTGACCCCATTTTTGGAATCTACGAATTCAATGCAGCTACGTCTTACGAAATACTTTTTATATTTGATTTTAGGAATCTACGAATTTTGCCCAAAAATATTTGGTCATGTCCAATTTTTCGATTACTTTGCTTACATTCTTTCACCGCTCACACATTTGTTTTCGCAAATTTTCCTTCTCCCAAGTTAGTCGGTACTGATGAGGCAACAACTTGTGTCGGTATTTCGATAAGAAACTGCAGAACCGGAATGTAAGTTCTAAGTTTCTACCATGCAAGAAAACTTTCTGAATCATATAATGCAGCGACTCGACTTTTTGTGGTTATCATTTGTCTTTGTTTTTGTTATTACAGGATATCTCTTGCCCATATGGATTTTCCAAACGTTGTTGAAAACGGTCTGAGTCAGATGTTATCTTTAATCACTGATCGGGATTCCGATACTCTCTTGGATGTACGCTATATTAAATATTAATTTTCTTCATATAATCATGGTTTCTCATTTCAATTCCTGGTAAAAAAAATTTGGGGCTTATTGTGTAAAGTCGTGCTTTTCAGGTGCATCTGGTTGGTGGGTTCGACGATATCTCGTCTCAAGTATGCCCATTTTTCTCCCCCGCTTTTTGCATTTGATTTTTCAGTAGAAAATATTGAATCGGGGAATATATTATTTATTTAATGATTTTGTAACAAACTTTCCTGCAGCATCCAAATCTTGCTCCGAAAAATAGAAAAAAATTGGAGGGATATTCTTATCCTTTGTGTGCAAAGATTATCGAGACGCTGAGAATTAGGAGCGAAAATTTTCAGATTCGAACTCTGCATGTTCTTGGGCAAAACACGAAATTGAACACCGAAGGGTTTGCATGCCCGATTTTCCATGGATTTGTGGTTAGCTTCAACTTTTGAATTTTATTTTTTGTTGATTTTTTATCTTCTTGGAATCATTTTCAATATTTGTTTGCTTAGGTGGATACATCCAACGGATCAATAACCCCTGCGAGTTTCGATAGAAAATCGAGATGCCCCGATGAAATTGTACGAAGAATTAGAGTGACTGCATCTTTCGAGGACCCTAATTTGTCCCACAAGTTGCTCGATACATACGAGACTAACTCCGACAATTTTGTCATCGCTCCATGTGTTTGGTAAATTGTTTTCCAATTTTTTATATATATACCTAAACATATGAACATAAATCAAATTTTTTTTTGTGCGCCTGCGTTTTTTTGTTCATAGTTTATGAATTACGAATTCTTTTGGTAGGACCATACGGCAAAAGCGCATTGCAACAACACTGCAACGTCTTTCCGATATAGAAATACTGCTTACGTGTTCGTCTTCGCCTTCTGCCGAAGCTCCTGATTTTGTAGATAATGAAAGAAGGTAATTAAATACCTTTTCTTTTATATATATATATATATATATATATATATATATATATATATATATATATATATGTACTTTTCGAGACTCGAAAAATAGTGTGTCGTAAAAATAATAAGTGGAAATATATATTTATCTATCCAGGAAGTGGGATTACTTGATCAGAAATCCAAATTGGAGAGAGACTTTTCCTTCAGAACAGCCTAGAAGGTTCCAGAGGACTCCAGATGGAAACTGGGTATCATCATTGTAATGAATAATACCAGAATTTTTTTTTAAATAATAATAAATTAACAATTTGGAATTACGGTATTTCGGTTGCTAATTTTTAGCCAATTAATTAATAATTAATTGCCTCTTGTAGAAAAGAGGATAACTGCTGTTGTGTGAATATGAGGCAATTTACTTGTGTTGGTACCTTATTTCCATAACAAATTGCAAGATTGGAATGTAAGTCCTATAACATACAATTTTTTATTTCTGAATCATATATTAATGCAAGTTGTTTTGTGGCTATTATACCTTTGTGTCTTTATTACAGGATTTTCTCTTGCTCAACGGGTACGGGTCAGATTCTAAGCTGACCCGTTTAGGATGCGTTTGGGTAAGCTAAACGGTTTTGCTTCGGTAACGGGTTTCAGTTAGGTTTCTGACTTACCACCAAATGATAATTGTGTTTTTTTTTTTGTTAATATAAAATGGGCAAATTACGGCCACCCTCGAGGTATGGCCAAATTACGAAAAAAAAACCCTCTTGTTTGGTAATTACAGCCACCCCCTCCTTTTAAATATTTTTACATAAAATTTATGTAATTCGGTTATTTACCGAACCAAATCGTATATTCAGTTCAGCAAACATTATGAAATGTTGGCGTACCGAAATTTCGGTTTGGTTTTGCCGATTTAACATCCCTAAATTTACCTCTTGAGGGGTATTTTCGTAAGATAATACATAGTTGAAGGGGTGGCTGTAATTACCCAAACAGAAGGGGGTTTTTCATAATTTGACCATAACTAAAGAGGTGGTCGTAATTTCCCCATGTAAAATACTAGTAGAATTTTTAAACTCTGCAAACTAACTTACATTAAAAATAGGGGTTTTAGTTCGTAAATTCCTTATGGCTAGTTTCATATATAGTATTATACTTTAGATACTACATACCCTTTTTAGGTTTCGTTTACTGTTAGCTTCCTATGCATAAAAAATGTCTGGAATACCCTTCATTAAACGATATTGTATGTTCTTTTTCTTCTCTATTTTATCTATACATGTAACCAAACACCCATTATCCATCCTCCCAATATATAATAATAGTGTCCAAATCTTCCCAAAACTCTGACAAAAAATTGAAAAAAAAGTCATGCGAATATGTGATAGTTAATGGGAAACTGTACTAGTTGTAATAATAATATAAAGTGAAGGGCATTCCAGACATTTCGCATGGGCTAGGGTGCTATCTGCAAACGAAATTTAAAAGGAGGAAGTGCATAGTCCAAAATGTAGTACCGAGAACTCTCTCGTATATAAAACTAACCAAATGGGATTTACGAGCTAAAACCCCTTAAAAATATACAAAAAATTCAAAAGAATAATTTAATTTCTAAGATTAAAACCTAAATTAAAAAAATAAAAAAATTTAAACCTAAGAGTTGATGATAGCAAGTAGCAGAAATAATTAATTGCCTTAATTAGCTTTCCACCTGTTCTCTGACACTCAACAACTACTACTATATAAATATCCATGGCGTGGGATCACGTTCAAACATGTATTATTTATATGCATCTGATATTACTATTACATTTCATAATAAAATATAATAGAATATATCTGCATGCACTGTTTATTTCTTAAGAGTAAATTACTGTCGCTCCTAGTTAAGGTTAAATTACAAAAAAACCCTCATGTTTTGGTAATTACAACCACTCTTCAACTGTGAAACTTCTTACCAGTTTGTATCCGTTTTATCGCATTCGAGCTCCACATTTAAAAAAAAGATGATCATAAGATGTGTCTCTTGACTTGTAAATATCAGATTGAGAAAACTGTTCTTTACACAAAATTAGTACAAACAAGAGATCATTTCACATAATCTAGAAGATCCTATTGAATTTCACGTGTACGAAGATTCATAGTTGAAATAAGAAGGGTTTTTTCGTAATTTGCACGTCGAGGTGACCGTAATTAACCTTGAATAATATTCATGATTCACCTACGGGACTGTCGGTAGTGGTAGGCAATTAGATATTTATTGTCACTTTGACTTAAATGATGAGCAAATAATTAAAACTGTGAGCATATAACTAGATCTATACAAGCACGTGCAACACATGCGCCAGTTTTTAATACTTTTGTATATTTAATTTTCCAGAGCAAGTTCATATGAAATCTTGCTAATTTAACCACATGGCTTTTGTTCATCGTCATAGCCTTAACCTCTCAAGTCAGCCACGTGGAATATTGTTGCATGGAAAATCCGAAAATCAACTAGTGTTTACCGTAAGATGTGAAATTAGTGGAGCTGATTTTTTCAATGATCATGAAGAAAATAGCCGAAAGAAAACGAAGAAGAAGAAGATGAAGATCTTGATTGCCGGCGGAGGAATTGGCGGCCTTGTCTACGCTCTGGCGGCAAAGCGCAGCGGATTCGACTTCACGGTGTTCGAGAAGGACATGACCACGGCCCGAGGGGAGGGCCGGGCCCGAGGCCCGATTCAGCTCTCGAGCAGTGGCTTAAATCTTCTTCAATCCATTGATAAAGATGTCACGAGTGCTATTATCGAAGCAAGCAATTTAACAAGTGACGCGCCAAATGGCATAGCTGATGGCCTCACTGGTCAATGGTATACATTATTATTATTATTTTTTTTAATTTTTAAATAAACGGATATATATATTATATTAATTTTGTTTGATTTGATTAGGTTGGCTGAGATCGATTTTCGAAGTCCGGCTAAACGAAAAGGGATTCCGGTTAGTAAAATGATATGTAGAGTGGAACTGCAGAGGATACTACTAAATGCAGTTGGTGAAGATAATGTAATGAACAAGTCCAAAGTTGTTGACTTTGTTAGTGATTCCAATAAGGTTTACTTCTCTGAAAATTTTATTAATTCTTTCTTAATTAATTAATAATTAACACTTTTTTTCCTTATATTATTATTATTATTTGCCAGGTTACAGTCTTCCTTGAGAATGGCGAGCAATACGAAGGCGATGTATTGGTCGGGGCCGATGGATTACGATCCGTGGTATATATATGCGCCAAATTATTTTATCAGTCTACAAAATTAATGAGTAATCATATTTCTTTAATTTTAAATTTTCTTGACTGTATCATATTAATTAATTATAATTTAATTATTATTTGATCCATGTATTATTATAGGTGCGCTCAAAACTATTTGGTCCTAATAATGAGCCAAAAAACTCGAAATACGTATGTTATACGGGCGTACAAGAATGTCTTCCCGCGTATCTCCCTAGTTCCGGGTATGTGTGTGTGTGTGTGTATCCTACAAAGTACAGCGTCCAATGTAATTAATCATTAATGAAGTTCATGAAATGAAAAAACATTGTGCCTACATTATTAATTATATGTATATATGTGCTTCACTCACTGTATCTAGAATTATATATATAGGTACAAATTTTTCCTAGGATATAACAAGTACTTACTAGCCGTAGATATTGGCAAGGGAAGGATGCAATGGTACGCCCTTGTTAAAAATCCTCCTGTTTCCTCCCAAGGTAACATATATTATATATCATATATATATATATATTATCAAAAATGTAATTGGTCTGGTTTTAACTTCTGTTGTTTTCCTAAGAATTGTGCAGGTTATAAAAAGATGCTTCTAGAACGTTACGGAGACTGGTGCAAAGAAGTAACTGGAATGATATCAAGAACAGAGGAAGAGACGATAATAAGAAGACCTATTTACGATATTGACATGATGAACACGTGGGGAAAAGGACGTGTCGTTTTATTAGGCGATGCTGCCCACGCGATGCAGCCCTATTTAGGGCAAGGTAGTACCATGGCTATTGAGGTACAAATTAAAATCAGTATAAACCAATTATAAAAAAAAAAAAAAAAAAAAAAAAAAGAAATTGAAATTAGTAAATAAACAAAAGAAAGTTTGATGTTTTATTGGAAATGTTTGTGCAGGATTGCTATTGGCTTATGGTTGAGCTGCAGAATGTTGCTAAGAGGCATACTGTTTCCGGAATTCCGTTACATCAACTAACGTTAGCGTTTAGAAGGTACGTAATATTCAAGAATTTATTAATTTTGATTGACGAGTGAGACTGAATTTTCGTGTAATATAATTCGGGTTTGCGATGAACAGATACGAGGATAGGAGAAAGTTTCGGGTAACGACAATACACACAATTTGCAGATTAATTGGAGATGTGGGTTCACATTACAAAACCTACCTATTCGACACGGGTCCTCTTCAACTATTCGTAAGTCGTTTGTCGTTTGATTTTTTATTTACACACATTTTATATTTAATTTTCTCTCAATTTTTTCACTTTTTATTTATTAGTTTTTCGGCTCTCGTTTTTTGTGTGCAGAATGTTGTGTCTGCAGCAGTGAGTGTTAAAGATCCTGTATCTGTTATTACAATGAAACTTTTTCAGTTAGCTTTGCCGACGATCGTGGATTGGGTTATAGCAAACCCCGAGCCATGAACATATGATTGGTTTCGATTTTTCAACAATTTTCAGAAGTTATCTTTTCGTTATTTTTCGATTTTGGTAAATGTGGTTTCGTGGTTTGTATTCGATTTATATGTCTATTGAATCACGAAGTTTATGGAAACTCAGTGTGAAATTCAAGAAATAAAAAGAGTGAAGTTGCTTATGGACACATTTTGAATGACATCTTATTTTGTTATTGTTCGTATTATTTTAAATTCAATAAACCTCAATGCATAATACGTTTTATGTTTACGAGGGAGAACGCCAAAATCGACACAATCGAAGCTAGGAAAAGTTGCCATAAGTTAATATTTTTAAACAAACAACAAATTAATGAGAACAAAAACAAGACAAAGAAGCATACAGTCAAAAGTCTATGTTTTAATCTAAAGCATCATTTTTTTCCTCTCTTTTTTCGCTACAAAAGTTTCGTAACTCTGACAAACAAACCCCAACAACTACCGTAACTCACTGGTAGAATGAGCAAAATTACACCTATCACCGAACGTGCACAACCCCTTTGGAAACTTCTCGCACATTTTTTTCTTATAATGGCTTGGTGGGCCACCACCCCCACCACCACCCCCACCACCACCACCACCATGACCGCCGAACGAACCCATGGGTGGTTTCTCCCCTCGACCGCCAGCTGCACTTATATTCATGATGAGCTGGCGAACCATCGAACTAGCTTCCTTAATCTGATCAAAGGTTCCTTCAAGCTCAATATTCCTCTGGTTTGGATCTGTCTCGTGGTCCTTTATAGAAAGCTTAACGCCCGTTTGGCGGCAAATCTGCTTCGAGTTTACCCCGTTTTTCCCAATTATAGGTCCGGCAAAAGTGGCGTCCACACTGATTTTAGCTGTTGCAGATGCACCAAAGTTGGCCACAGGTTCAAGCCGTTGGGGAAAACCACTTGGTGGGCCCATCATTCGGTGGTCTTCGTAGCCGTGCATAGGTGGCGGCTTGCTGCCGAGCTCCATCTCACTGTGGGCGAAGCGGCAACTGTCGCCGTATCTACACCCTTCTGCAGTGTTGATCTTGTTGCAGATTCTCGTTTTCATGCTCGGAGAAGGGTTATCGGTAAAAGCTCCGTTTCTTCCAGCTGGAGCTGCAGTGTTTCCGCCCATGTTTGCCAGCTGCGAATGCGCGTTGTAGCCCGGGAAATAGTGAAGGAAGTGGCATGCATCGCCGAATGAGCACCCAGATGTGCTGCATTGATAACGCAAAACATGAATATCACAAACAAGATAGAAAACGGGAAAAAAAAAAATTATAAAGCCGACAAATATATATCTTTACATCCCATAGTATAGGTAATCAAGAAGAAAGTTTATTTGGTGTTCTTTCTCTTCGGCTTTCTCAATGAAACAAGTCAACATATATAAGCCAAGTCAAATACCTGGAATTTCTACGACTCTGGAGATGGAACTTAAAGCTCGAAAATTTAAATGCTATTCGGTTACCTTTTACTACTTCCGCAATGTTTTGTCGCAAAAAATATATGTTTCGATCATACAAAGCTTGTTGTTATTATATATAGATTCAAGATTATAACCTGAAAAACTTCGTGCATGGCTTTGATTTGCTTCCTACACCACTTGTAAACGAGTCCGTTTCTGTACCAGAAAATTTATTTCCTTCTTCAGTTAATATTTCATCGGACACTTTTTAAATCATCGAGCCTTAAAAGAACATCCAATTCAGAACTTCTATTAATTGATAACGCCCACATTAAAATCAGATATCTACAAATATTTTACTAGATGTATAAAGATTATAAACAAAACAATCATTAGAAATACATTACTTTCCTAGAAAGTTCTAGATATATATCCTCCCTACAGTGAATTTCTTTCGACGGATACACAAACATGTAATAATAACAATATGAAGTTCGGACAAGCAAACATTGAGAAATTAGATCCATTGTATCAGATCCTAAAAGAAAAGGGAAAAATTAAACTATTTTTGAATCGGAAATTAGGTCACAGCGCAAAATCTATTAATTCCCAATCAACAAAGTAAATTAAAAACAAAAAATGAAATCATTACATTCGAAAACTAACCTTCCTTGTACTTCTTGGAGCCTCCATTCCCAGAAAAAGCGGCGTCTGGTCGGCCCCTTTTGCGCCCAAAATCCATTTGCGCTGCTGCTAGATCTATAAACGCTAACAAAAATTCAAACAGATAAATCACTTTTATATATGATTGAGAGTTTCAATTCAGAGATTTGGGGGAAAATTATTAGGAAATGATGTAAGAAAAACAACAGCGGCAAAACCCTAGGGTTTGGGGGCGACGATTGGAGGGAGGCGGTTTTCCGGAACTCAAGTTCAGATTCAAATTTAGTTAATAATGAAGCTTCGAGACGGTTGAGATTTTTTTTATTAAATTGGGCGGAAAATTGTTTTGAGTTAATTTTACAGAAAAGTACTTTTTTTTTTCGGCCCGAGCTCAATGGGGCTTTAGCCCATAGAAACATTACGTAATAAATTAGGGGGCCTTTTTATGGTGATAATACCAAAAAAAAAAAAATATATATATATATATATATATATATATATATATATATATATATATATATATATATATATATATATATATATATATATATATATATATAAATTATTAAAAATAGGGTAAATTACCACCATCCCTGAGGTATGGTCAAATTACGAAAAAAATCCATCTTATTTGGATAATTACACCTACGCCCTGAACTATGAATCTTCTTACACTTCCACCCTTACGGTGACAAATTCAACATAATCATCTAGATTCCGTGGAATGTGCTCTAGTTTGTACTCGTTTTGTGTAAAAATTCAGTTTCAGCTGCACCACAATCCAATATATACAAGCCAAAAAACACATATTATGATCATCTTGCTTCAAAATGTAGACTTCGATGGGATAAAGAGAGTACAAAAGTAATAGTATTCCATATAATCTCGAAAATTCCACTAAATTTGAAACCGCAAGGGTGGACGCGTAAAAAAATGTATAGTTAAGGGGGTGGTTGTAATTATCCAAACAGGAGGGGAATTTTTGTAATTTGACCGTATCTTAGGAAGAGGTTGTAATTTAACCTTATTAAATATTATATTAGGTGATAATATTGTCAATAATAATTTAATTTTCTTGTCACTTATTTATTTTTATCATGGGTTTATTTATGTGGTGTTTGCAAAAACTTTTAGTAACATCTTCTGATATGATTATCCGTCGACTTTTCGCGGATCTAAATTTGTTTGCACCAGGACGACGACCCTTCAGAATTCCGAATAGTGCGGTTTTGACCAAATAAATATAGGACTTTGCTAAATAGCCAGAATCTGGCTGGCCAAAATAGCATTTAATTCACTTTTTTTATTTTCTTTATATATCTAATACCATTTATGCCCTTAATTGTTTTGTTTCTAAAATCTCTTCCTAATTCCTCTCCCTATTTTCCCTCCTAAAAAATAGAACCACTCAATTCTACATATTTAGTTTTTACACGGTAAAAAATAATACATTATATCAATTCTACGAGTTTCAATAATAATAATAATAATAATAATAATAATAACAACAACAACAAAAAAAGGATGAATTATTATTATTATTATTATTATTATTATTATTATTATTATTATTATTACAACAAAAAAGGACGAAATATTCTCACCTACATCACTATTTTGAAAATGGGTTGCAATGGAGAAAGCTTAATCGATTCAAATCTTATGATTGACAATTTGATTCTTACGATTTTTACGAATTATATTGTATTACTTTTTATGATACAATTCAATTAAAAATATATTATACTTTAATTATAATTAGTTAGTTCCATTAATATGTTCTTGTCAACACTTTCTCCCTCTAAAATACAATTATACCAAGTATTAAAATAAAAATAACAACATAATATTTTAATACTACTAATCATCTATAGTTTTATTTTAAATTATGAAGATTAATTGGAATGAGTTATGATCTATTTTTGTTAAAATAAACATCATCTACATTTTTCTTATAAATATATTACTGTCAATATTTGTCCTATATAGAATAATCAATAATTTCAATACGTTATTGTCAATAATTGATGTCAATCGATTAAAATTTTTGAAAAAAGTTTAACAATTGATAGGACTTGAGCATAATTAATCCAAATCTTACTATTTGATTAACTAAATATTAAAAGAAAAATCACATATAATATTATTATAATCCTCATATATACTTTATAAATAAACATCTGATATTATTTTTTATTAAAAAATATCACACTATCGATTTTAATAACATAAGCGAGCTTGTATTAAGTCATGCATTTGCATATATTTAGTTAATTCAATTATTTGTATTTTTCAACAGTGGAGATTAATAATAATAATAATAATAATAATAATAATATTGAATATAATAATTAATGATAGATATTTGGGGGGTCGAACAACGACTCTTTATATATTTTTTTAATTTATATATGACATTTATTAATATATTACTGAATAATAATAAATAGGAAAATTAGTAATTTATTTAGCATTATCTAAATAACAATTATAAATCATTTTACAGAATTATTAAACTTATATATATATTTCGTATTAATGTTCTAAGCATTTGATCTGTCCCGGTGGTTTGTCTGCTGTTGTGTACATCCGGGGCACCCGAGGTCGAATCTGGAAGGTAAACTTTTTTGGTAATATAATCTTATTTAATATATCCGGTCCCCAGGTTACCAAAGTATTCAAATTAAAATATTAACTGTGTATAGGGGTAAAATAGTAATTACACGTTAAAACTTTTTCTAATATTACAAAATTGCCATTTTCTGGCTGGCCAGAATCTGGCCATGTAGCTTTATTGATAAATATATGTGGATAGTAATTAATTTAATAATCAATTCACTAAATATATATACCAATAAATGATTAGGTTTTGCAATTGGGACAATGAATTTGACCAAAATTCTCACAGATTTTCTTGACATCCAAACAAAGGTGACATCAATTGCACCAATTTTCTCAATCTTGTAGCTTGTCCTTTCCTCCAATTTGACCCTCAAAATTCACATTTTCCCATCATCACATGCTAAGTCATTAGTACCCATCGGTCACGCCAAAATGATAAAATAGGAGAAATATAAATGAAACTATTGAATTATCATAATTCACATGTTCATATCTACTCAATTATTTATATATTTATTTGTTGAGGAAAAAACATGTATTGACATAATTATAACAATATATATATATAACATTTGTTCTATAGTAACTGTCTTTTTTTTTTTAAATATTGTTGTTCCATATTATCTGTTATTTTTTATTTCTGATATTGAAAATATTAATATTAAATAATTCAACTCTAAGTTTTTCTCTTATTACATCATTAAACGAACAAGGTTATTTTAGTCTTTTTTAATATATTTTGTCCTAAAATCAAGATACGTTTGTTAACATTCTTAATAATTTAAAAAATGAAAGTTAATTAGAATCGAATGGGATATTAGAAAGAATCATTAATTACTAATCATCTACTCCCTCTGTTCCATAATATCTGTCTCTTTTGAGAATTTTTTTTGTTCCATATTATCTGTCACTTTACAATTCCAATGCTGCATTAATTGCTTATTTTTCAATTTTACCCTTATTAACTCTATAGCACTCTTCATGCATTAATTAATAAACAAGGGTATTTTGGTCCATCATTATATACTTTCCTAAAATCAAGACACATTTATTGAGATTCTTAAGATTTGTGCCAAGATGAAAAACGACACCTATTTAGGAACGGAGGGAGTACTATTTATCTTGTCATCATTTATTATATACATATATATATTCATACAATGATTATGATTCGTGAATTATATTGTAATCATGGCACATAATAAGTACACACCACCCACCCACCCACCAACTACCACATCCAAATATCTTTACAAAATCCGTTCTTTGTTCGTTAGTAAGTAGTACTATATTACAACAATCATTTCCCATTTAGAGTAATTTTCAATATATATATATATATATATATATATATATATATATATATATATATATATATATATATATATATATATATATATATATTATTGGATAATGAATGAACTTGTAGCCAACTATATAGGTGTACTGAACAAATTTACATTCTTGTACAATAATTTATAAGACTGAAAGTAATTTTCAACATATAAGAATTAAGGGCGTTTGAATTTTTCCATGTTTAATTTGAAGACCAAAAAATATAGTGTTAATAGTCTTTTTCAAATTCAAAATGATTACAAAGAAATGGCGTGTAGAAAATGCAATCCTTACTAAAGAATTTAATTCGTTCCTTTTCCACAAGTTTAGGTGGGAACAATAACAACCACCTAGTAAGACTATGTTGTCCCTTTGGAACATGATTGTATTTATTAGGACCCGTTCTTTTTTTCTTTTCTTTTTTTTTTTAAATTTATTTTTTGGTAATAATGAATATGATAAATTCTTGTTAGATATGACTTTTAAATTTTAATATCTATAAAACGTGAAGGATGAAAATACTGAGTAATTTACAAATTATTTTGAAAACCAAATGTGGAATTAGTGCAAACTTAAGGGACGAACATTGTAATTTTCCAAAAAAAAATAAAAAATCGTATGAGTGATTATCTTTGAATATAAAAGAAACTAGCATTTTTTTCCCCGTGCGATGCACGGGATATTATTTCAAAAGTGAAAAAAGAATAAGGAAGGGAGTTCTGCACAAAGATCTCCACATCCACCTTGCGGACTCACTCATGGACGATGTTGACCGAGTTCCCCCAAGTCAACCTACACTGTTGTTATAGAGAAGAACCCGTGTACTAAATCCATTATTTTTAAATAAAATCCATTGTTTTTATCAATTTAATATGTAATGAGAAAATATAGTGCACTAACATAGAAAAAAATAATAATGTAGTATTATAAATGTTACATATTAAGATTTAAAAAATATAATTTCTATCTTTATCTCTCAAGATTTGAGATATATTGATGAAAAATATGAGATTAATAATTGTTGAAAATTATAGTTAGAAAATTAGTAGAGAAAAAAATAAGTAATTACAGATGTACCATTAGGGTAGGATTCTTCACAGTTTAGTTTTAATTTTGATAATTGTTGAAAATTATAGTTAGAAATTAGTAGAGAAAAAATATTAAAAATAAATAATTACAGAAATACCATTAGGGTTTTTAGGGTTGCCCAGTGTAACTGTTTCTTTCCTTCTTTCCTTTATATATAAGATAAACGCTATGTTATCTCTAAGAAATTATAATGACATCTTTGTAACTATTTTTATCCATTATCATATTTGTAGGGATGTTGAGTCTATTAAATAGGGGCTCTTTGAGGAACCCCTCATTACTTTT